TCTTTTCCTACTCTGAGGCACTGACCTGCCCCCTTATACTTGAAACTATGTAAGTCTCTATTTTTTTTCTTTAGCCCTCACCATCCCCCTTTCTAGGCAGTCAGAGGATTTATCAACCTCTGATACTTACCAGAAGGTCAGATCTCTGCCATTTTATCTTGGAGTGTTTCTGAAAACATTCTAGGGGAGATTTTAGCTCAGTGGCACAGCACCTGCCTGGCAAGTGCAAGGTCCTGAGTTCGATCCCCAGTACTGGAAAAAAAGAAGAAAGAAAAGAAAATATGATCCTGCAGTAACATGCCTTAAGATGAGCTTGTAGTCTTTTCAAATTTTAGGCTAGTTTTCCTTTCAAATGGCAGGTTCTCTTGAATGAGTGAATAATAAGAGTTGTACAAATTGAAAGGCAGTAGTCACTTTGACTTTCCAATACAATCTTTTCCATTCACATCAAGTCTGAAACCGGGAACCTATACTGACTTATTTGGACCAAGTTAGTTGCCAATGGGACATTTCTTTCATCTCCTATTGATTTTATAGCCAAATAAAAGCAACTCGGTCCTATACACTCAAGGTGCTTGGGCTGTACCTTTATTTTATTTATTTTATTTTATTTTATTTTATTTTATTTTATTTTATTTTTTGGTACCAGGGATTGAACTCAGGACCTTGTGCTTGCCAGGCAGGTGCTGTGCTGCTGAGCTACATCCCAGGCTATACCTTCCTTTTAGACAGGAATCTATTCAGTAAATTCATAGCTAGAGAAAATGTATGGCTATACCATATTATGTTTATCTTGTGATGGTAACATTTATATATCAACTTGACTTTGATAAGGGATACCCAAACAGCTGGTAAAACATTTCTGATTGTGTTTGTGAGAGTGTTTCTAGAAGAGGTAGCATTTAACTCTATAGATCTCTAATTTTTTAATTTTTTTGGTACCGGGGATTGAACTCAGGACCTTGTGCTTAACTCTATAGATTGAAGAAAGAAGATCTACCTTCATCAATACAGGTGGGCATCACCGAATCCACTGAGGGCCCAAATAGAACAAAATGGACAAATCAGCTTTTTTTCTGGTGCTGGGTCAGGCATCTTCTGACCCTGATTATTCACCTGGTCAGAGACACCCAAGCTCCAGGTTCTCTGGCATCTGGGACTCACACCAGCACCCCCTTCCCCCATTTTTCAAGTCTGGATTCAGACTGAATTATACCACTTGTGTTCCTGGTTCTCAAGTTTGCAGATGTCAGATTACAGGACTTGTTGGCCTCCAAAATAACATGAGCTAATTCTCATTATAAACTCTCTCTTACACTATCTTTGTATCTGTCTATCTGTCCATCCATCCATCTATCCATCCATCCATCCTTTTGCTTTCTTTGGAGAACTTTAATACAGTCCAGTCACTGGTTGCTGAATATTTGCCTTGTTTCAACTTTTTGGGTTTTGTGAATACTGCTGCTTTGAACACCTATGTAGAAGCATTTGAAAATCTGTTTTTAATTCTCTTGGGTATAAATATAAAAGTGAAATTGCTGGATCATATGCTAATTCTATGTTTAACCTTTTTTTTTTTTTGGTACCAGGGATCGAACTGGGGTCCTTGCGCTTTCGCAGCAAGCGGTGAAACCACTGAGCTAAATCCCCAGCCCAATTTTATTTTTCCAGTTACTTTTTGCTTATACTGTACTGTTTTTGTTTTTTTTTTTTTGGTACTGGGGATCGAACTCAGGTCCTTGTGCTTGCGCAGCAGGCGGAGAAACCACTGAGCTAAATCCCCAGCCCCTTGCCAAACTGTTTTCTACAGGGTGGCTATACCTTTTTACATTTCTCTGAGTAATGTAGAAGGGTTTCAATTTCTCCATGTCCTTGCTGACATTTGTTTTTTTCTCTTTAAATTATAGCCATCCTGCTGTGTGTGGTGGCGCACACCTGTAATCCCAGCACTCAGGAGGCTGAGGCAGGAGGATTACTGCAAGTTTTGGCTACACAGTGAGTTCAAGGCCAGCCTGAACTACATAGTGAGACCTTATTTAAAACAACAACAGGGCCGGGGATTTAGCTCTGTGATTTCACCACCTGCTGACCAAGTGCAAGGACCCGATTTCCAAGGACCCGATTTCGATCCCTGGTACCAAAAATAAATAAATAAATTTTAAATAACAAAGAAAAAAGAATAGCCATCCTAATGACTATAAAATGATGTGTCTTATGTCTTTAATGGTGTGGAACATCTTTTAATGTGCTGTTGGCCACACTTCTTTGGAGTATTTTCTTTTTTTTTTTTTTGGTACTGGGTATTGAACTCAGGACCTTGCACTTTCGAGGCAGGTGGCGGAACCACTGAGCTAAATCCCCAGCCCTCTTTGGAGTATTTTCTGTTCAAATCCCTTCATCATACTGCTAACTATTGTGCATTTTGGTATTAAACATTGTTTTGCTGCTGTTTCTCTTTATCTTTAAAGAGTGGAGAAGTTCGTTTTGGTGAGCTATCTTTGCATCATTTTATTCCTTCCAGTGTTTGTTTTTGAGCCTCATGGGGTGTGTGGAGTAGCTCTAGCTCTAGTCACTGAGGTGTCTCGTGGGTGGTCCCTTCTGTTTGACATTGGAAGATCTCCCCTCTCTTTGTGATCTCAGGGGAGCTGCCCAGCGCACGCCCCCCCCCCCCAGCTGTTCTTTGTTTTGGCAGGGACCTCAGGCCTGCCCTGCTTGTCCAAAGTTTACAAACAGTTGCTTCACATACTTGGTCCAGGTTTCATTGAAGTAGGAGAGGTCCAGTTACCAGAAGTTTCCCAATCCTTTTTATTTTTTCTTTTCTAATTTATTTCCTACCCTTCCAACTTTATATTGAGGTATAATTGGGTACAATAAACTTCACAGATTTGATGTATGCTATTCAAACAGGGTTTTGTTGTTGTTTTGTTTTGCTTTTTTGAAACAAGTTCTTGCTATGGAGTTCAGGGGCTGGCCTTGAACTCACTATTAGCACAGGCTGGCCTCAAACTTGATGAGCTCCTTTTGCCTCAGCCTCTCCAGTGCTGGGATTACAGGTGTGTGCCACCACACCTGGCCCTATTCAAATAGTTTAGACATAAATATATACCCCAAAGCTATCACCACAGTTGATTATTTCTGACACTTCCACAACCTTGCTCCCACACTTGCAATCTGTCTCACCTCCCACCAGCCCTCATCTTCCACTGTCCAGTAGTTGGCATTTTCTAGAATGGTGTAAAATAGAATCATACAGAGTACTCTTCCAAGAGGGGAGGCTGACTCCTTTCAGCCAACAATGATCTTGGGATTCATCCATGCTGTTGTGTATATTATTAGTTTCTTCCTTTTCATTGCTAAGTGGCTTTCCATTCAATAAGTGGACCACAATTTGGCTATCCCTTCCCTTTTCAAATGCTGGAAGCAACGTATGAGTTGTTTCCAGTTTGGGGCTATTAGAATTCTTTTTGTGGGTGTATATTTTTATTTCTCTTGGCTAAATACCTTGGAATAAAAGACAAATTTATGTTCACTATTTTAAGAAACTGCCATATTGTTTTCCAAAGTGGTTGTAGCATTGTATACTCCTGTCCACCAGGTAGCAGCATCCTGTCCCTCACTTGGTGAGGTCAGTCTTTTTTTTTTTAAACTTGCAATCTTGCCTTGATAACCCTCCCCCAAAAATACCACCCATCAATTCCAAATCTTTGGGGAAAATAAAATACAGTATCACAAAGTTACCATCCACAAGTCTGATACACCATCAAACGCCTAAGATTCTACTTTCAGATGCTTGCTTTTGAAGGGACCTCACACCCCCCCGTCGGAAGCAGGTCGTACAAAACTGTTCCAATAGTGACTCCTAGAACACATTTTCGCACGCAGGATGCATCTGAATAACTGGATGAGAAGCCTTTCAGTCTTCTGCCTTATATATCCTCCTGTCTCCCTATGAAGGTCCGCAGCGAGACTTTTCGATGCATTCAGTTGTGACCCTTGGCCGTTAAAGGTCTACACCGAGAAGCATGCAAAGTTGCATCTCCTGCCCTCCCGGTATCAGAAGAGGGCAGGCGCACTGGGGATACAATGTCACCAGCGCGTTTCTCATTCCTACAACCAAACCACAACCCAAGACGCTCTGGCACTTGCAAGGCCAGGCAACTACAAAGACCAGGCCGAGGTGAATAAAAATATTCAGCAACCACCGCCGCATCTTCACGTTCAGCTAAGCCAATCACTGAAGCGACCCTGGCAGCACGTGACTTCCAAGTGCTTCAGGCCTCTCACTGGGTTCGAGCAGGGGTTAAGGGACTGGGCACTAGGACCCGAGTTCGCCAGTCTTCTTAATGGTCGCCCTTCCAGAAGGCCTGTGGAGGAATCTCACAGTTCTCTAAGCATGCGCCCTGCCCTGTCTTCTGTCTTGTCACACTGATCTATTCTTCCTTTTTTTCCAGCACATCCCGAAAAGGGTTTTAGGTGGGTATACAAAGAAGTAAGGCAGAAATGGAGAGGAAGAGCTAAGAAATTTAAGAGCTGTAGCACAGGGTAATTTTACCACTGTAGAAACTGTAGAATCCAGGAAAAAAATGGGGTTTTGTTTGTTTTGAATTTTTTCTAGTTGTTCCACGTCACTGTATTTTATACATCTACTGATCTGCAACAGATTTTTTTTTTCTCCCGGTACTAGGGATTGAACTCAGGCTGGGTTGCGGATGGACAGAAGGGCCAGCGGCACCATCAAGGGGCAGTGTCAGGGAGCGGGGCCAAGGCCGTCTCGGGTTCTGGGAGAGGGCTACAGACCCTGGTCACTAGTGCAGGCAGGCGCAGGCGCAGGCGCAGACTCGGGGGAGGTGCAGTAAGTTGACGGTTCCCATGGCAACCGATCAACAGCTCCTACCTCGGGTGAGCTAAGCCTACAAAACGCCGCCATGTGTGCCGCCGAGGTGGACAGCCACGTAGCCCAGAGATACATGCTCAGGAGGCGGCTGGGGAAAGGGGTAAGCAGGGCGAGGCCACCTGCAGGCAGGGTGGGCCCTTCCAGAGTTTAGTCCCTCCAATGTCTGCAGCTCTCCTGGATCACATCCTTCCTCCTCCGGAACTGGAGGGGTGGCTTGGCCTCGGGCCCCTCTGTGTCTCAGAAACTGGAAACTGGGAAACTGGGTGACCACCAGGTACCTGGCTCCGGAAGAAAGGTGATTCACAGGGCCCCGTGGTCTCAGGAGGAGCCGTCTTGGTGCCCCACCAGCCTACCGCCCCTGCTTCCAGGCTGCCTCTCTAGGTGCCTACAGGACGCGCCCAGAAGGTTGCCCCTGCTTCAGCCACGGGGGTGGGAGGTGGATCTCAGCATGCCCAGGAAGGTCTGTCGGGTATGTGAGGTGGAACTGTGTGTGACCTCATGTGGGTTTGTGATTTGAGTGTGAGTTTGTACGTGGTGTGTGGTTGGTTGTGTGTATATATTCAACTGAGGGAAGGGAAGAAGAGGATACTAGACTTCAAATAGCAAGTCCAGAGGCTCTGAGTCAAAGAAGGACCTGCTAATAAACCACACAGTTGGGTGTGAAGTAAGCCAGGGTGAGGAAATGGGGTGGGGGTGCAGTTTCTGAGAAACTTCAGGGATTCTGGCCTGTATTGTCATTCACTGGAGGAGCTGTAGCAGTCATTGGTGCCACTTTCCAAGGCTCACTCTGACTGCTCTGTGGAGCAGCCACCATGGGGTGGGTGGGAGTGACAGGAAATGAGTTAAGAGGGTAGGGTGGTGATCCAGGAAGAGATGCCAGTGCCCTAGACAACAGTAGAGGTAGCAGAGATGGTAGGAAGTGGTCAGATTCAGGAGGAATTCAGCAGGATTGGCTAAGCAAGCTGGATGGGTGTGAGAGAATAGGACTGAGAATGCATGGGTGGCTGGAGGGGCTTCAGGGCCTGCCCAGAAGTGCCCACCTGTGACCTCATTTCCTCCCAGGGGCCTTCCTGGTGACCACAGCCTCTTGCTGCCCACAGTTCCCTCTGCAGGTCCAGTGCTCCAGGGCTCACCACACTCTCAACCCAGAGTGGGAAGGAAGAGCTTTTCTGTGGAGCTTTTTTGGATGGGCCGGGGATGGCTGGACAGGAAACTAGCTTTCTTTCACAGGCCTATGGCATTGTTTGGAAGGCAGTGGATCGGAGGACTGGTGAGGTCGTGGCCATCAAGAAAATCTTTGATGCCTTTAGGGATAAAACAGACGCCCAGGTAAATCAATAGGGAAGAAGTGTGCGGAAGGTTGGGTGTCTGGGAGCTCAGGCATGACTGGGAGGCCCAATCCCAGCAGGTCTCCTGGCATTCCTGGCTGAGTGAGTATTTGGGTGACAAGTGTCAACCATCTTTGGTTATTTCTGTCTCTTCCAGAGAACGTTCCGGGAAATTATGCTGCTCCAGGTGAGTGGCTCAGGCCATCCTGGCTGCTTCCCTTCTCTAGGTGCAGTCTCTCCAGATCAGTGGGAAGCTGGGCCCCTGGACCCTCATAGCAAAACCCCTGACCTTCCAGCAACAACCTGCTCTCCACAGGAGTTTGGAGACCATCCCAACATCATCCGCCTCCTTGATGTGATCCGTGCAGAGAACGACAGGGACATATACCTGGTATTTGAGTCTATGGGTAAGTGAGGCTGCATTCAGCTTCCTACCCTACCTCTGTCCTGACCCCAGTCCCCGCCTCATGGCCTGGGTCCCTTAGGTGTCCTCCCACTGCTTGAGTCCCTGCAGTGCCCTCATCACAGCCAGCAAGTGTTGACCTGCAGAGCCTGGCAGGGACCACCTAGACCAGTAATAGTGAACCTTTTAGAGCTTTCAATGATACAAATAGCCCGCTGCAGCATGCGTGCCATAGGTTCACCACCACTGACTAGACCATACCTGTAAGGGGCTCCTGCTCTGTCTTTGTGTGCAGCTATATTTTCCTTTTCTACTCTTTTTATTAAATAAAGGCAACACGGTATAAGTATTCAAATAATTCTACAAACTTTTATAGTTGTGTGGACAGTGAACAGGACAGATGCCGGCAGGTGGCATGGCAGGGAGTGCCCATGATGGCCATTGATAGCCAGGTAGTGTTCAAAGTGGGATAGACCTGTTCATCTCCCACCCCTAGACTGGCCTGTATGTCCCCTATCCCAGACACTGACCTGAATGCCGTCATACAGAAGGGTAACTTGTTGGAGGACATCCACAAGCGCTACATCTTCTACCAGCTCCTGCAGGCCACCAAGTTCATCCACTTGGGACATGTCATCCATCGGGACCAGAAGGTTGGGCCCTATACTGCATCTGCCCCCAGCCCCCAGTGTTAGAGTGTATCCCCAGTCTGCCAGCCCTCAGCGTACCTCCTCTCTCCAGCCATCCAATGTTCTCCTGGATGCCAACTGCTCCGTGAAGCTCTGTGACTTTGGTCTGGCCCGCTCTCTGAGCAACCTCCCTGAGGGGCCCGAGGGCCAGGCCCTGACAGAGTACGTGGCCACACGCTGGTACCGGGCTCCAGAAGTGCTCCTGTCTTCAAGCCGGTAATACCCCCAACCGCCCCTGTCTTCTCCTGCAGGTCCTGCCACCCCAGGGCATGTCTTTCTGTCCAGCTGAGGGGCCCTGGGTCTGCCTATGTCCACTTGCACCCTTCCCTCCCCCTCCTAGCTCCCCCCGCTCTGCCTCTGAGCTGCCCCCTTGCTCACACCCCTTTCTGCCCCAGGTATACCCTTGGAGTGGACATGTGGAGCCTCGGCTGCATCTTGGGAGAGATGCTGCGAGGGCAGCCCCTGTTCCCAGGCTCATCTACACTGCACCAGCTGGAGCTGATCTTGGAGACCATCCCGCCTCCATCTGCAGAGGGTGAGCACTTGGGACTCAGGCTTGGCAGCCTGTCCTTGGGTCAGAGAAGGCAGCTGGGGGAGAGGGGGACATTGCCTGATAGGCTGGGACTTCACAGGGAGGAAGGTGAGGATGGGGATGGCAGGAGCCTCAGGAAGCCTGGGGGGGTGGGTTCTATGTATGGAGGTCTAGCGAGCAGCTGCTGGGGCCAGTGTAGAGGAGCTGCACAGGGGCTGCAAGGGAGGCAGGATTGGCCAGGGGGACCATGATGGCCAAGCTGTGACACAAAGGGGCCAGCCAGGTCAGAACAAAGCTCCAGCACTGCTGAGGGATGTGGGGAGCAGGGGTGAGGAGTGTTGCTGTGCTGGAAGCTGGAGCAGCACAGGGCAAGGGCACTGGGGCACTGAGGGAAGAGGTAGGGGTGGAACAGGCAAAGGGTGACACTTGCAGAACCCAGGAGTATCCTATTCTCTCTCCAAGTCCCTGCTTTCCCTGGTAGAGATGCAAGGGATTGATCCAGGAGGCCAGTGCCAACATCTTCATGTGAGTGAGTTGAGGTTTACAGGTGCAGGGGCAGATACTCATAGACTCACAGGAGGCTCACCTGCAGTCGATGGTGCTGGAAGAGATGGCTGGCCCCAGACCCCTGTGAGCCCCCATGCCCCAGGCAGGTCTGGTCACACCTCCTTCTGCCACCCTCCCTTCAGACCTCCTCGCTCTTGGCTCAGGCTACAGTGACTTGATTCTGCATCGCCTGGGGTCCGGGTGAGTGGAGCACTTAGGTGTGGGGCCTGTCACCTGAGAAGCTGCTGGTCATGCTACAAATGAGGAAACTCTAGCCTTGCTATAGCTCTGCCAGTGGGGTGGGGGCTGTGGGGAAGGCCCCAAAGCCTGAGGTGGGAGCCAGAAAGGCAGAAAGAACTTCCCAGGGTTGAGAAGGTGGGTAAGAAAGTTGAGACAGGGGTCTATCCACATTGCCTGTGTGTCTGGTTTTGGGGATCTACTGAGTCAGGAAAAGGGGACAGGCAGAGGATTGGAAGCCCAGCCCAGGCCACAGACAATTTTGGGAAGGGGCATGGGTGAGGGGCCTGGAGAGGAGATGACAGGAGGCTTCTGTAGGCCACGACAGACACTGGACGCCCTCCTGCCGCCAGACACTCCCCCAGAGGCCCTGGATCTCCTCAGGCAACTCCTGGTGTTTGCCCCGGACAAGCGGCTTAGTGCAGCTCAGGCGCTGAAGCACCCCTATGTGCAGAGGTGGGGCTGTGGTGAGGGTGGGCTCGAAGTGCCTGGTGGGCTGGGAGGCCAAGGGGACAACTGCCCCTATTCCACCTGCCTCCCTGGCCCCGCAGGTTCCACTGCCCTTACCGAGAGTGGACGCGGGGTGTGGACGTGCAGCACCCAGTGCACGAAGGAGACCAGCTCTCTGCATCTGAGTACCGCAGCCGCCTCTACCAGGTCCTCAGCCCTTGACCCTTCCCCTCATCTGACTTCCTCAACACCCTGGAGGTCTCCTCCCGCCTTATTGACCTTAACCCCCTCCCACCTGCAGATGATCCTGGAGCAGAGAGGCAACAGCCATGGCCCAAGAAAGGAAGGTGTGGGGGGTGTTACCTCAGGGACAGAGCCCAGGGCCTCCTGTGGCCAGGGCCACTTGATCAAGCCCCAAGTCAATCCTCAGCTCCCTATCGGGGCACCTGCCCGGAACCCAGGACCCAGGCCACAGAATAGCCTGGGTCAGGACCCAGAGAATGGTATGTGAGCTTCAGTTGTCCCCACTGGGGTCACATCCCTGGCCTCTTCTATGTGGGGCCACCAATCTTTGCAGATCAGACGTAACCCAGGGTTGTTACAGGTGTGCCTTCCCCAGAAGCCCCCAGTGCAGCTAGGAACATCCCAAGGCAGAGGTCAGCCTTCTCACTCCAACCTCAGGCCCCAGGCAGGGGGGACAGGCCACCCCTTAGGGTGAGTCAAGGAAGGGCAGGAATGGGAGGAGACCCCCTTCACTCTGCTATACCTTTCAGTAACCCTGTGACATGCCCCTTCCCAGGTGAAGCCAAGTGTGAGAGGCATGGTACCCTCTCTGACTATGCAGGCTGCAGCCCAAGTGGCCAACCAGGTCTTGATCCGAGGCAACCCCACCCGGCGTGCACTCTGGGTGAGCCAGGTCCCCAGTGCCCATCCATGCCCCTCAGGACCCTCCTTCCCTCCACTCACCCACCCTGACAATGAACCACACTCATGTACAGGTCCCTCCCAGGGTTCCCCAGGAAGCCCCAGAGCCCCGACCTGGCCGGAGGATGTTCACCTCAGCCTCATGGGGGGCCCAGGGCAATGCCAGGGCTTTGCTCGGGGGCTACTCCCAGGCCTATGGAACCGTGTGTCACTCAGCGCTGGGCCACCTGCCTCTGCTCCCTGGACCCCATGGGTGAGCTGCCTCCCCACCTCACACTTCCTGTCTTGATGTCCTCAGGAGAGCACACAAGGTTCCCATCCCAGCCCCAGTGGCTTCTTCCTAATAAAGTCTTTGTCCCAGCCCAACTAGCTGCTTTCACCTACTCCCTTTTGAGAGGTTCCTTTCTGAAGGGCTTCCTTCATAGGCCATAGCATCCCCTAGCCTGAGGGCCCTTATTCCCTTCCCAGAGCCCACCTCTTCTGAGAACCTGCCACTCCCATCCTGCGTTCTCTGTGCCAGTCTAGAACAATAGCACAGTGCCAAGCTGCACAGGCCTGGTCTCTGCCATCCATGAATCTTGTCTACCTAGGGCTGGCCTGCTGGGCACTTTAGACCAGCTTCCTATCCTTTGTCCATAAGTGCCCTAGTGCCTGCTTTGTCACTGAGCACCATCAGAGCCCAGCTTGGGGGTCCTGCAGGGTCCAGGGTCCAGGCTGCTCCAGATAGTCCTGTCCTGAGACAGGAACTTGTGGACAGACAAATTACCTGCCTAGGTGCAAGTCACTGTGTAACTGAACCAGAGAGGAAAAGGGGAGGAGCACCCTCCCACAGTAACACTTGCTTCCCTCTGGATCCTCCCCCCATTGTCACTAACTGGAGCCTGTGCCCACCAACACAGTGACTGGCTCCTGGTTTGTCTAGGTCTTGGTAGTTGGAGGGTGGGGGACAACCTGGAGATGTCTTATGATGGGGTTCAAGGCTACTTTCTCTGGTTATCACCAGGCACAGGGTGTGGTGTGAGTTCAGGCCAGGAATATAGGGGCCAAAGAGATCCAAGGATACCATGGGTGTTCTGCACTATACCTAACCCTGGGCTGGGGAAGAATGCAGGGGTGCCGCTTCCCCACTGCCTTGCTGGAGGAGCTCGAAGTCAAAAGCTCCTGGTCACCTTGGGGGATGGACAGGAAGGATGATGTGTAGGCAGAGGCTGGGAGGTTGCACTGCAATGGTGCTGGTGCTGGTGCTGGGCTCCCAAGTGAGGGCCAGAAAGCAGGGGGATGGGGCCCTGATTCTAACATGAGTCAGACAGCTAGGTAGCTCACTCTGAGAGGGCTGCTGAGGAGTCAGCTTGTGGTTCAAGAGCCTGAGGCATAGCCTCAAGGTGGTGAGCAACCAGGACAGGTGAGGGTGTGGGAGTAAATGCCACAGATGGGTGGGCCTTTGAAGCCTGGGAACTTGGCACCAGGGCACGAAGGACTCAGGCTAGGCAGGAGCTACAAGGTGAGGCTAGGAGGCATCTGCTGGGCTTGGTGGCCAGGGTACCCTGGGTGAATGCCTTCAGAGCACCAACACAGAGGACCTTGGCCGGGTATTTATCTCAGTGGATATGCCACCAGCCTTGCAAGCACAAGGACCCGAGTTCGATCCCTGGTACAACAAAACAAAACAAAACCAAAAGCAAAAAACAAAAAAACCAGAGGGCCTCAGAAGTGAAGGAGGGAGGACCCAGAAGTGGAAAGCTGGTGTGGGGTTAGATGCGTCAGGAGGGATGTAGAGGCAGGAATGGTCTTAAGCATCCCCCAGGATTCATGGCTGTGTCCAGAAGGCAAACTAGGGACCTAAGGTTCAAGGTTGCAATATGTAATTGGGTGGTTTTATATATATATATTAGAATATTTTGTGCAACCTTTATTGTCATCAGAATGTGCAACATCATGTTTTAGGTGTCTTATTCAGCAAGATGTGAACAGTGCAGGCAGGCTCAGAGGGCCCCAAGCTGGGCTACCAGCCTCTAGCCTCTCCATGGGGAGAATGTTCCTCTTCCTTCAAGGGTTTTCCCTTAGCAGTGCGCCTGGAACCTGTCTGCTCTGACACCACGTAACACACAGTAATATAACCTTGTTAGCAAGCACCAGGCCAAGAGATGCTCTAGCTCATCCATCTCCCAGGGGACCTTTCTCACCTGGCCCAAAGTCCCTGCTGCCATCCCTACCTGGGAGGTGACTCTGGAACCCAGACAGCTGTCGGGGTCAAAGTAGGGCCACTAAACACTACCACCACCACCCTTTCTCAGCTGCTGGTGTCAGACCTGCTTTTGTTCGCTGGCCTTGCTTCTCACATCCTTTCCCCCTTGGGGTTTATAATAATGATGTAGTAATAATAAAAACTATTTGAGCTGGGTGTAATCAATCCCAGCTACTTGGGAGACTGAGGCAGGAAGTTCAAGAGTTCCAGGTCAGCCTGGGCAGCTTAACAAGACCCTGTGTCAAAATAAAATAATTTAAAAGGGCCTCTTTCTAGGGCAAAGCTTGGGGTGGTGCCTGTGTGGGAGATACTTAATGAGGCTGGGGCTGAGGGTGTCTGTCCAGATGTTTTATTGTGCTGCAAAGCCTAGTGCTCCCCTCCTGTGCCTTACAAGGTTTTACCCAGGCTGTGCTGTAGGAGGGGGCAGACTTGGTTGAGGCAGCTGCTACTAGGTGGCAGGGCAGCCCCTCTGGGGTCCTCTGTGTCCCTCCTTCCCAGAAGTCTGCCCTATCCAGCTTCCCTGTTGCTCCAAGAGGAACATCCTTGGGGTCTGACTCCACCCCTCCCTCACAAGTGCCTGCAGACAGCCCTGCATTCCCCATAGCAAGGCAGGTGCCAAGAGGCCACAAAGAGATGGGTTCCACACAGGGAAAATTCCAGAGGAAGAGATGGAGGTGAGAGGAGAGGTGCCCAGAGTGGGGAGGAAGAGGGAAAGAGTGAGTACGATGCGGGTGTCAGCAGATAAGAGCCATTGGATGGATTCAGGAGGCTTTGGGATGAGTACCCTGAGAGCAGAAACCCTGAGGAGACAAAAGGCACGGAGACCCCCTGAAAGACAGGGGACTAAGGCACACAGAAGGCTCCCTGAGGTGAATAAAGGCCAAGAGGGGGTCTTAGTGCAAGGAGACGTGGAGGCAGAGCTGAGAAGGGTGCCCAGGAGAGAAGGGAGTTGTAGGAGACAGGGGCTGTGCCCCTGGGAAGGAGAGGCCAAGGCTGAAGACCCCAGACTGCTTTGGCACGAGGGCCTGGTGACCATCCCTCAGACACAGGGACATGGAGCTCCCTTCCCCTCTTGAGTGCTCCAGATGCAGGTTGGCAGTGTGCGGTGCAGCACCCTGGCCTGCAGGGCCAGGACACTCATTTCTTGCCTTTAAACGTGCCTAGGATCTTGGGCATGAACTTGCCCACCTTGCTGTCCCTGGCGTCCTCTACCAAATTGTCCCCTGAACCTGGGCCGCCAGCCTCATCCTTTTTGCAGAAGACCTCAAAGCGACTGTACACTCGCTTCTCCTTGCGCATGCTCTCCATGCGGCGCAGCAGTCGGTCACGCTCCTCTGCGCTGGCAGGCAGCGTGCGGCTCAGGCGGCCTTGCGCCCCCATACTGTCTGAGCGGAAGATGGCTGAGCACTTGTCTTTGTCAGACATATCTGGGGCCAGGCCTCCAGCAGCTATTACGTGACCCAACTCAGGGCTGCTGCGGGTTGGGTCCGGGCCTGGGGCAGGAACCCCGCGGTGTTTCTGACCGTGAGCACTGATCTGCTCCAGAATGGCCTTGGTGTCATCCCGCAGGTTGCTGCTGTACAAGGCATTGGCTGTGGCCGAGGTTAGGCGTGCCCTGGGGCCACGCTCATCTCCTGCAGCCTCCGTGCTATCACCTCGTCCCAGAGATGGTCGCTGGGGACTCTCAGGCTGCCCATTCTCCTGAAGCACTGGGAAGCTGCCCTCACCCTCCCCATGTGGCTCGTTCTTGGGGCTCAGCAGCTGCTTGAGCCGCAGGGATCCCTTGCGCAGCACCTCCATAGGGCCACCTGCCACTTCCTCTGTGGGCGTGGTCTTTGGAGACTCCGCGGCCAAGGCCAGGGTAAGACTACCCCTGCGCTCAGGCACAGGGGGCCCTGGGCTGCTCCTGCGCTCTGGCACAGGAGGCACAGGGCTGCTCCTGCGCTCTGGGTAGGGTGATGTGGGGTTCCCCTTCTGCTCAACAAATCCTGTAGTCGGGCTGCCTCTTCGATTGGCGAACCCAGGCGTAGGGCTCCCCTTCCGCTCTGGGTAGGCCAAGGTGGGGCTACCTCTTGGCTCAGAATGAAGCACTTGGTGGGCTCCAGGCCTGTCTGGCGGGGGGCTATCTCGTCCTTGCGGGGAGGTGGACCGGCCCTGCGCAGAAAGGAAGCGAGAGGGCAGGCGGTCGGCGCCACTCCGGCCTAGTGTGTCGAGCAGCTGTGTAGCTGTGAGCGAGGCGGCTCCAGGCTGCCGCTCAGCCTCCTGGTGCAGCTGCTGAGCAAAGGAGTCGCGCAAGTCAAGCAGGCAGCTCTCCAGGCTGCGGCGCTCGCACCCTCCTGTGCCTGCTGCTGCCACCTCTTCCCGCAACATCTGGGACACCACTGCTTTGCTGTGGCTAGAGACGGTGACAGCGCCCCCGGTTTCGCGGGCTGGCCCCTTGTACTTCTCCAGTAGCTCGGCCACTTTGGCGGAGGCGGTGGAGCGCATAGCCTCTCCACCAGGACCCAGTGTCTCATTGATGGTCTGCTCCTTGTGTAGCAGCTGCACCTTTTCGGTGGTGGCCCCCATGGCCCCACCCGTGCCTTCTGCCTGTGCCTGGGAAGCAAAGATGAGCGAGGATCGGAGCCTCGAGCTGCGCTGGATGAGAGGATTCAGGCGCGAGCGGAAGGAGTCCTGCTTGGCCAGGCCAGCCTCCTCCACACCCTCGCGCTCTGCACCGTCTCCGCTTCCTGAGCCCGGTACAGGGCCCTTGGCTGGGAAGGCAGTAGGGACACGGAAGGCTGAGGGCAGCAAGTCCCCAGCGGTTGCTCGGCCCGCGGGAGCCAGGACGTCATCCTCACAGACCTCGACTTCCATGGGCATGGGTAGGCCCTCCTCGCCTGTGTCTTCGCCATGGCAGCCGCTCAGGTAGGAGGCAAGGCGCCAGTGCCGGAGCCCCGCGCGCCCCTCGGCACCCCCCTTACGCTGGGTCTCCGTCTCCACAGCGGGGTCTGCGCCCTGCCTCACCACTGCCTGGCAGGGGAACCTCTGGCCCAGATTTGGGCGCAGGACGCCACCAGGTTCGAGGCCCTGCGGGCCTGGCCCAAAGGCGGGATCCGAGCCGTGGCGCGCTTCTCGGGACGCACTGGATGGCACGTATTCCAGCCGCTGGTGCCCGTCAGGGCCGAGTTCTGGGAACCGCGGCCCAGCGCCCAGTGTGAAGTCATCATGGTCAGCGAAGCCCGGGCGGCCGGCGCGGATCTTCTCGAATAGGCCCTGCGGGCGCGTAGGATTAAGCTGCGGGTCCCATTGGTAGTGCTGCTGGTAGAGCTGGTCGCGGTGGAAATGACTAGTCTGGAAGCGGAAGTCATCTCCGTGGCTGAGGAATGTCTGGCGCGACACCTGGCGTGCGGCCGCGAAGTTCTCCACAGCGCCTGCGCCATCGGCTGCTGTGTAGCTGTGCCGCTTGAAGGCGTCCATCTCCAGGTGCCGCGCCTGGAAGAAGCCCCGCGTGCCCGGGGGCTCTCCACTGGGGCCGGCCTCCATGTCCAACCGCCGCGACAATGACCGCATCCCCGCATGTGGCTCCAGGATCCCCCCAGGCCCCCGTGGAATCTCCTCCCGGCGGAAGGCCGAGAGGAAGTGGCGGTCAGGGTCCAGGAAGGAGGGGAAGCCCAGGCCCTCTTCCCGGGGCGGCTGAAACAGCAGGTGCGCCCGCTTGGGGAATGAGAAGGGAGTCGGTGCCCCGACCCCGGGGACGCCCACTAGGGGCCCGGCGCCTGAGTAAGGAGCCAGAGCGTAGGTGTCCATGCGGGCCAGTGCCCCCGCCGAGGGCACCAGTGGCTCAGACTGTGCAAAGAGGATGCGGAACTCCTCATCGAAACTGGAGACCAGCTCTCCCTGGAACACGTGCGCCAGGCTGCGGTGGATCTTCTCGAAGGACCACATGAAGCTGTGGGCGGGTAGGGGTCAGAGTCAAGGAAAGGGAGGGACCCAGGTGGGGTAGGCAGGACAGGACCCAGATCTGTAGGGCTGTCAGGGGCTACGGGGGAAGGACTTCTGCAGGGATGATCTCATGGGGAGGGGCTGGGGCTGTGGGACACCCAGCTGGGCACACCTGTAGCTCCCACTCATCACCACGGCACAGTCGACTAGCAGAAACTTCTCCTTTAAGTGGCCCTTGAACGACTTCCCAGTGCGGCAGTAGTAGGTGGGGCCAGCCACAGTGCGCACGCGCAGGAACTAGGGCGTGAGAGGGAGTCAGGTCCACGCTCAGGCTCTTTCGCCTCCTCCCACCTGGGGGTCACTTACATCCACATGGTGCAGGTTGAAGCGGCACTTGTCGGCCATGTCCAGGAAGTGCTGTGCATTCATCTCATCCAACAGGATGTAGACTGGGACGCGGCGCGCGGCGGCCTCTAACACTTCACTGAGCAGGTCCACGTCTGTAAACATGTCCATCACCACAGCCACCACCTGTGGGGATTGTCAGGGGAGAGGGCAGACTCTTGCTGTCCCCATCATATTCTCCAGCCTTACCCTCATAGATCACTGACAAACACTGTATAACATGGTCACTAGCCCACCCTAGGAAAGAGCAACCATATCTGGGAATGTGGGTCAGGAAGATGGGGTCTGGCAGGGGCCATGTGGGGCTGCTGGTCAGTCACATTGGTGGCCTTCAAATGTCTGTAATCCCAGCACTCAGGAGGCTGAAGCAGAAGGATCGCTGGGTAACATAGTGAGTTCCAGGCCAGCCTGAACTACATAGTGAGACCCTGTCTCAAGAAATAAAACCAAAAAACAAACAAAAAAACCAGACCAAAAACAAACAGCTCCCCCGCCCCACAAACCAAAAAAACCCCAACAAACAAAAAACCAAGTTGGGGCTCGGGATGAAGCTCAGTAGCTCCTGCCCAGTAAGTGAAACGTCCTGAGTTTGATCCCCAGTACCAAAGGGGTGGGGGGAGAGTTGGTGGCCAATAAAGAGCCCCATGCAGGCACAGGGTCTACATCCTGTTAGAGGGTTGTCTTTTGCCTGGTAGGGGAAGGTAAACCCCTGTGATCCCCTTGCCCTGCAGGTGACTGAGCTGCCTGGACCCCAGGCTCCAGTTCTGGCCCCAGGAGGGGAGTTCCTGCCTGGGGCAGGGAGGAAGAGGAGGGGTCTGTAGCATCTGGCCCTGCTGCTTCAGTTTCCCTGGTTTACCAGGCTGCTTTTGCAGTTTGCCACCTGCTGGGGCATGGGGCAAGACTAGAGAGAATTATCTGAACAACAAATGCAGGCTAGGAGACCCCAGCATCACAAAGCCCCTCAGCTTTTGGACACTGGCCATGACTATGGGCAAGCAAACCTGAGCAGAGCCTAAAGCCCACACTAATCAAGCCTTTGGTGGCCCTGGAATAGTTTTGCCAGGGGCCCATGTTGTATCTTGAGCCCCCAGGGTCCTGCTTGAAGCCTGAAGAGATCTGGACAGGCCTGCTTGGCTCCCTCGTACTCCTCCTACCGGGTGTAGCCCTTCCCCATGCCCACCAAGCCCAGGACAGTGCACCTGCTGTGCAGAGCGGATCATCCTGCGAGCCTCATCCTTGATGCTGGGACTGTCAGGTGGTGGCGGCTGCACCAGTGTGGTGACCTCAGTCCCCTGGAAGCCAAAGGTCAGGGGCCAGCCCAGGTCAAGCTCAGGCACGGCCTGGTCTGAGTTCACTGGCCAGTAGGTGCCAGAGGAGCCATCCATGTCCACATCAGGAGGGCTGCCTTCAGGGAGCTCACGGGCAACATGCTGTGGGGGCTGCAGATGGCGGCTCACGTGTTCTAGCTCCTCAGGGCACAGGAAGTCGGGTGCCCCCTCAGACGCCAAGAAGCGGCTGTAGGCCTCTGCCCCACCCTCAGTCAGTGCATCCACCGCCAGGCGGTAGTATTCTTTGTAGTGTGGTGGCAGATACCCAGGTGCCAGAGGGTTGTCCCCCTGTGAGGAACTCTGGGAGCGACGAGCCATGTTGTGGGTGGGGGTCTGGGGAGAGAAGCAAGGAGACGTTAACTAGGGATAGGGGCACTGGGGGTCCACTCCTCTCCTCACACATGTGGAAGGGGTGCCAGAGACTCTGGAGTTCAGCCCAGGCCTGGGAGGCATCTGCAGTGCTGATAGGTCACAGGGATCCCAGCTCTGTCCCCCTCTGGCCTCACTGGCTGGGACCCCACTGTCACCAGGCCCCAGATGCCAGCATCCCCAGCTTCCAGGTGGGGCCTCTGACTTTACCCCTCATTCAGGGTTACTTTATGGTACTCATGGCCCCAGACATGTCTTTGTTTTATGGGTCCCCTTTATAAAAATAGATTTAAAATATTTTGACTGTTGGTTCAAAGACAAATGTAGGCTGGACTTATTATATTGTTTCTTTTTAAACATTAGCCTTTTTGATATTATGCTGACAAGTGGGTGCTGTCCCACTGCTTGGAAGACCCAGGGCAGGTCATTGTGCTTCTCTGGTGTGTAACCTCCACCGTACAACACAGCTGGGAGGACTGACAAGACTCCACAGGACCCAACACCACTGATTTCATCCTGGGAGAGCAGCCTTAGCTCCACCCACTGCCCCTGGCACACTGCCTCCCCATCCTCAGGGCGTAGCTCTCCACTCCACAACCCCTGACCTCCCAGCCTTCTTGACCTCTAGATTTTGCGCCAGTCCACCAGTCTTCCTCCAGCTCTATTCTGCCACCGGTCTTAGAGAACATCTTCCTGGCCGCAGCCCCTTGGTGCCAGCCCTTCCCTGCAGGACCTGGCTCCCCACTTATTTGGAGTCCTGTCCCTGCCAGGCCTAGTCCTGCTGCAACAGGAACCTTTCCAAGGCCCTGTCTGACTGCACTCAGGATTAAGTCAAAGGTCCTCAGCTCCACATCATCCTCCTCGCCGTCACATTCATGCCCCTCTTGAGTAGGCCTCCATGGAGTCTGGCTGCTTGGGAAGCCATCAGACGTGATCACTGAGTACCTGGGGACCTCATGGCTTCTAGCCATGGCCTGCCCCAGGGACTGTTCATCCCATCCCCACTGTATCTCAGGTTTGGGAAGGGGTAAGATTCCTGTCCTGCCTAGCACACTGATTCCCACATGTTGGGCCTGGCAGGGGAACTGGTTCCGCCCAGAGGGAGGAGTGTGCCCCAGGTGTGGCTGGGTGATGCTAAGATTGGGCACTGGCCACCTGGACTGCACTGGGGTTGGAAGGAGACCCTTGCCTGAGAATGTTGTGGCTCAGGACCCTGCTAGGTACAGCCCAGGAAGCTGTACTGCTGGTGTTCCTGGGATGACACACTAACTGAAAGTAGAATGTGTCAAGAAGGTGAGAAGTGGGGACTCTCCTCATAACCACTCCCTCACCAGCTCTGGATGTTACCTGTCCACTGGTCCTAGGAAAAGCTGCCTTGACTTCCTTTGTGGGGCCTTGCCCTGACCTCAGGCACGCTCTCCTTTGCACTGGACATGTGAGTCAGGGGCTGCTGACCTGGCAATAGCAGGTCCCACAGCCCACCTGGAGTGAACTGTGGCCTGTCAACCTGGACAGTCCCCTTGCCACAGGGTCAACCACTGACCACAGTCAGGTCTGGTGTTTAGAGGCAGCACTTGGCCATACGGATCTGGTGTACCATCCTGCTATTTGAGAGGGGACCTCCAGCATGGGGAAGACACTGGAAGGGACACTCCTGTCCCTTCAATTTCACTGGGGAGGGGAGTCCGCATTGTCCAGGCTGTGGGTAACAGGGGGTGAAGAGCTGTCCAGCCTGTGGACCTCCATGAGGAGCCTTCCTATAGACACTGCTGGTCAGAAGGGGGTCCCAGTCCTGAGTGCCTACTTTGGGCAGCCTGGCCTCACAGCAGTACTTATCACCTCGAATAACCTTATCGTTTGCCTGCTTCCTTTTAAGGGTACACACCCTGGACTATGGACAGGGCAGTGGCCACTCCCCAGTTGGCAATGAAGAACCTCAACAGCCTACTTCCCCACATTTGCTACCTGAGTCAGCTGAAGGGAAGAAGGGGCCTATCCCCCCAAGACCAGTGACTCAGCAGGAGTCCTCTGCCGCTGACCTCTGACCTAAAGCCAGACAGTCTCCAGAGCCCACACCTCCATTTCAAGAACCTGATCCTTCCCACGCAGGCAAGAAGCGGAGTTCCTGTGTCCTGAAGCGGGAATCCCATGGGAAGGTTCTGGGACTTCTACACAAAGCAGGGTGACCCTGGCCAAGTACTGAGGCAGGATTAGGAATGAGGAAGGTGGTACTCGGTTGGATGGGGCTCACAGACTGGAAGTCAATGTATTATAGCTTGAGGGTGCACCAGGGCCCACAGTTAGTGCACCCTAGGAAGTTAGCGGCTGCCATGACAGGCATTCCATCTGCCCACCCCAGTCCAGGAACAAGGGATCAAGGGGCTGGGGCCTCCTGCCCTTCACGTAGGATCCAGGCGACTGGACACCCCAGTCTGGCGGCCTTGGAGGGGTGTCCCTAGGAAAGGGTCCAGGCCGAGCTGAGCACCCTCCCTAGGCTCTAGCTAGGCCGCGAGGGCGGGAGTAAGTCAGGACTGAGCAGGCTGTACTAAAGCCCCCGCCCCCCCCCCCGCCCCGTGGCTCCTTTTCAGCCAACGTCGGCGCAGGTGGGGGGTCGCCCCTCATCTCCCGCCAGGCCCGCGCCCCGCAAACCAGGCCTGGCACACGCGGCCACGCAAACTGCACCACCCCGCTCCGGGTCGTGAGCACCAGCCCTGGTGAGGCCGCGCAGGGGCCCCCGGCCTCCCCTCTGGCGCCCGCGCCCAGCCCCGCCCGGGCCCGGAAGGGGGCCCTACCTGGCCAGGTGCGCGGGGTCTCGGCACAGGGGCAGCAGGAGCCGACCGCCGCCCAGGGGCCTCGCGGTCCGGTCGGTCCAGCAGCCACTCCCCGGCACGGCCCGCCCGGCCTGATTCACGCGCCCGCCCCCGCCCCGCCCGCTCCTGTCTCCTGCCTGCCCAGGCAGCACCTGGGCGGGGCGCCCCGCCCGCGCCGCGCCCTCATTCCTGCGCCCGGCCTGGCGGGACCCCGGCCCCAGTCCACAGCCGTGCTTCGGTGCCCTCGACCCCTGTCCGCGCCCCACCTCACCGGTGCCCCGAACCCGCGCCCAGGACCCTGGCCTGCGCCACCTGAGACCACCGGGGCCCTACTTCAAGGACCCCTAGCTTCCTAACCCCCATCTGTGAACTGAAGGTTTCATGCCCCTAAGCCTGACCCCTGACCCTCGCCCCGGAAGTCAAGGTGACTAGGAAGTTCCGGCTGGATCCCTGGGCGATCCGCTGGCCCGACGTAGGGGGCGGGGCTTCTCGCCTGGGCGAGTTGGCACTGGCAGGTGAGGCTGGGAGGGCGGACCAAACCCAGGGAGGGCTGGACCTGGGGACCCATCTCACATTGGGCACCCCCTCACCACACAAGGACACGCCTCACACCCTAGCCTTCTTCCACCAATCACCCCACTCACCCCGTCCACTTATTTGGGACCCCATAGGCCCACCCGGGAGCCCCCACAGACCCTTTCATACTCGCATACCCAAACATACAGGGGACCCTGCACCCAAAGGAGCCTGCGTTGATTTACCCCCATGTACCCTAACCCCACAAGCACGGGAGATGCCCGGTCACACAGAATCCTACAAGCACACCAAGTCCAATAGATGCTGTTATCCGGCATGACCACCCACCATGCCTCGTCCAGACAAATAGAGGGGACTTCATGCCCATTGACCCTACATGCATGATCATGCACTCTGAAAGCACAAGGGACTTGTCCTCATATGCTGTGACCCCCCATGTATACCAAGAGTCCATTGCACACCTGGACCCTGCAAGTACCAAGGCCCCACACAGCTCACATATCAATGGGCACACATACCACCCCTAGTTTGCACATGCAAGCCCTAGTTGCCCCTGGGTGTCCCAGTCTGCCCACTTCTCCCTCAGGCCCCCATTGGCAACCCCTTCTTATTAGCCCCTGCTCTGTGCTCAGCCATCCCAAGTCAACTCCTCTTGCCTGCCACTCCCACCCCAAGTGTTTACTCCCTGTCATCCTGCCTGAGTCCTTTCCGCCAGCCAGCCTTCAGTCACGTCCTGCTCCTTGTCCCTTCTCAACCATTTTTTGTCCTATTTCCATGGTCACTCCCTGTTTCATTAAGTTGCTCTCCACTCAGCAACACGCCACAGGTGTGGGGTCAGACCAGCTCTGGGGCAATTGCATAGCATTAACTCCCTGCGCAGTAGGGGAGGTGAGGAGCTCTGGGGCCACAACCAGGACCCTTACCCTACCTGGAGTAGGTTAGGGAGGCCTCCCAGGGGAAACGAACTTTTGGGTGAGCCTGGTGGACTAGGGAGAAGGGTGTTGCTTCTAGGATCTGACCACAGCACCTGTCAAGGCCAGGATAAGAGGATCTGTAGGTAGAGAGGGGCCAGGCTCCAGAACATCGTGAGAAGGGCAAAGACACAGCATGGTTCTGCTCAGACAAGTACATCAGGACCCAGTTGTCCAGCTGATGGCCTGGTGGTCTGAGCAGAGATGTGAGTGCTGAACATTAGACTCTGGGGCCCCAAAAGACAAGCTAAAAAAGGGGTGGAGGGCGCAGGCTTGTGAAGGTGAAGGGACATGGTCTTGTCATGCATCCCCCCCTGAAGTTGCTGGGAGCAGGTGGGAGGACCAGGCAGCTAGCTGGGAAGTGTGTGTGGGGGTGTTCTGAGTTCCTACTGTCTACCCAGGCTCATGGCGGTGTGCAGTGCTGTTCCCCATTGCCCCTTCCTTCTTCCAGGAGAATGAACGTTAAGATGGGGGCAACCAGAGCTGCATCAGGGAAGTGGCAGACATCTCACTCTGGGTCCAAACCAAGAGCTACTGCTGGTGAGTGCACCCTTGACCTCCAGAGCACCACCACCCAAACACTGACCTGTGAGACCCTCTGCACCCACCTGGGACCTCCCATCTGGGAATGACTATACCCCCAGAGTGTTCTTCATGTGATTTCTGTTGGCTCGGGTGTGACAGACTGAGGGTTCAGAGCTCAGATATCTGCTGCAACCCCTGGCCCTGCATCTTGCAACTCTGGGGCTGGGCACGGTGCTCAGAGTAACACAGTTTTAGAGCCGTGGAGGTGGGAGAAGGGCAGGAGCCAGTGGAAGGGGCTCTGCTGGCTAAAACTGATTTTGAAAAAGAGCAGGGCTTGATTCCAAATTGGGAAATCTCAGGTAAGTACTGTATGTGGTCCACTCTGACTCTGCTCCATTTCCCTGCCTGATGCTTCACTTTCAGGCCACCTTCTCAATGCCACTTCCAGGTTGAATGGTGACAGTTCACCTAGACTGGGTCCTGCTAAATAAAGGTCAGTCAGGAAGGGGACCTCCCCTGTGTCCACCCACTTTCAGCAGCTATCACTCCCGTCCTCTGAGTCCCATTTGTTTTCTGTCATAGCCGCAAACTCCTTCCAGGCTGGATCTCTGGCCCTTTGCATCCAGTCTGCCTGGGATCTGTGCTTGCTGAGAGGACACCCTACCCAGTCTTAAATGCACCCCTCAGCTTGGGGTGGGCCTGGCCCAAGCTCCTGGACCCCAGAGAGTTCCTAGGTTTCCAGAAGCTGGTGGGGTAGTGGTGACTCTTCCACATCAAGCCAGGGTTAGATCCTGGTTGCTCAAAATAGCCCCAGCAGCGTCTGAGGCTGACACTCCTCTAGGAAGTAGGATAATGGGCACAAACACCGCGTGCTGCCTCCATGATCTCAAGCCTGGTCCTGCATTGCTGTAAACAGGGGTCAGGCTGGTGGACGAGAAGCTGGCCAGGAACTAGGGGGGTGTCCCTCAGTTCCACCGGTACCATTGTGTACACCTAGGCCCTCCCCTCATGCCTCAGCCTGCACATTAGCTGCCTGGCCTAGCCCCTGGGCCCAGAATGCTGGGGTCCTCTGTAGGGACATGTCTGTCCCCAAACAAGAACCCTCCCTGGGTCACCTCTGTCCACCAAGCATTGGATGGCTTGGGTAGTCCTGCTGTTCTCGGTCTTTGAAGTGTCTTGTACAATGGGCGCTAGCACCCACTGGCAAATGTGAACATTTGCCAAAGCAGCTAAAGCAGCTTGGCATCTCTAAGATGCTCAAGTGGCCACCTTGCCAACAGACTGTCCCGAGCCCCTCCCATCCTCCCCCAGGCCTTACCTGGCCTTGGGTCTGCAGTGCCTCGAGACCCTCACTCCGGAGCTGCTCCAGGGCCATGGCCAGCTGCAGCCCCTCCATGTGCACCCAGGCCTGTTCCTCCTGTAGCTGCTGCAGCCATAGCTGCTCCTCCTGTAGCTGCTGCAACCACATTTGCTCCTCCTGCCATAGCTGCATCTGCAACTGGACATGCCTCCTTTGGTCCTCCAGCAGCAGCTGCTCTTGGGCCAGGCACAGCTGAACCTCATGGAGCCTCAGTAGTTCAGGGCCCAGGGCCAGTGCCTGGCCTGTGGTTCCGTAGCCCTCCATGTGCTGGGGGAGGGCCAGCAGCAGCTCAGACCCTGAAGCAGTGGCCTGTACTGGCTGCTGTGGTCCGGCTGTCCTGGGGTGTCCCTGGGCAGCCGTTTGGGTGCTGGTCACATGCCCTATAGGAGCCACCCCCACCTGGTCCCATGGGCCCCCTGTGGCAGGGGGCGGGGGCTTGGCCTCTGGGCCCTGTTGCCCCACTTCCCGCTGAGCCCGGCCTGCCCTCCTCCCTCGAGGTTTGCGAGCTCGACGTTTCCCAGACATGGCCCTGGCTCCGGCACCTCTTTCACCAGATGTCTGTTCCCCAGGGCCAGGCTCATCAACTGGCGCCTCAGTCAGGTGGCTCAGACGGCATCCAAGAGGCTACAATGCACTGCCCCCTCCCCACTACTCCTGCCCTCTGCTCCTGTGTCCCAGGAGCACACCCTGCCCCTCAGCTACACAGCAGGACTTCGGCTCTGGCTCTGCCTGTGGGCCTTTCAGGGCCCCACTCAGCTGGGCCGGGTCCAGATGGAAGTTTATAGGGACTCAGCGGCGTGGCAGCTCAGCCAGACCCAAGAGGCTGACTAACCTGCTGACACAGGGCGCAGGACTTTACAGGCCACAGGCCTTGCTGGCCAGACTGGGAGGGAGACAGGGAAACTGGAGGCGGCTCTCAGTCGCTAGACCTAAGTGCAGGATGACATGCCTGGTCCTGCCTAGGAGGCACTGAGGCCCCCCCACCCCCTTCCCTGGCCCCACCCCTGGTTGCGGGAAATTCAAACTGGCCACCTGGCTAAGAGCTGCATCCTGGCTACACTGACCGTCAGGACCCAGACACCAGATGGCCATGAAGCCCCCAGCCCACCCTGAGCACTTCCTTGGTCCCAGGCCCAGACACCCTGGGTACCTGAGCTTGCCCTGAGTTTGCCCCCCTCCCCCAGGGCCCACACAGTGGTCTCTGGTCATGCTGTGAGCTCTTAAGACTTTGGGCCTTTGAAGCCCCAGACAGCATGTTAAGGACTGAAATGGGCAGAAAGAATCCAGGCTGGTCCTGGGTGCAGGGTGGGAGCACTGGCTGACATTCTGGTTAGGACCCAGCAACTTTCCCATTGAAACAAGGGCTAAGGAGCCCTCCTCTGGCCTGCCTTTGAGTTCCCCAGATGGGGGTGAGGGTCCAGGACCAGCCCCAACATTGGGGTTCCCCTGGCATCCTGTTGGGAGGGTGAGGCTCCAACAGGCCTCCTCCCCAGCATTTTCCCAGCCCCAGGCCGCTGACTCACATCCAAGCCCAGGGCCCCTTACTGACTGGACTGGTTTGCCTGGCTCAGCCCAGCCCAGTGCACACCCCCTTGCCCAGAAGCCTTCAGAGCAGATGGAGAGCACTTGCCCTGGGAATGCTGCACTGGACAGACCCAGGAGGGACAGGAGAACCAAAGTCCACTGGTCTGGGTGGGGTCAGGTGGGCAGGATGGGGCAGGGGGAGCCAGTATAGCCCTCCTACCTGGGACCACAACATGCCCACCCCTGGGTTCACAGGGCCTGAGCTCTGGGTCCCAAGTACAGGGGCAGTTCCGCTGCCAGACCCTCAGGGTCACCAGGGGCAGGGTGGTATTTGCTGCTGGAGGACGCTGCCTGGCTACTCATTAAAGTTGTCCCATGGCACTGCAAGGAGGCTGCATATGGGAGCTCCCCAATGCTGTCTCACAAATGTCCTATAATTCCTCCTGAGGTTGAGGTGAGGGTGTTTCACACCCTTACCGCTCTGACTGCAGCTTTCCTCAGGGAAGCCTGGAGGGAACCGTCAGCTGCAGAGGAAGACTGGCCAGCAGGCAAGGGGCCCTGCGACCCCTAAGTGTCCAGAAGGTCCTGCAGGTGAGGGCTGAGTGTCCCCATGGGAATGGGTCTGCCCTGAGCCTCCGCACGCATAACGTGCGAGAGTGGGTGCCTACATAAGCATGTGTGTGAATGCAAGGGTGTGTAAGCGCGTGCGTGCATAAGTATGAGCCTGCCCTGGGAGCCGGCCTGGCAAGCCCCGCCTTGTGAGCCCCTCCCCGCCCAGCCGCTCTCGCTGCCCCACCCTCTCGCGCCGCGGCTCGTAGACGCCCTGTCCCTCCGCGCCTCCGGCCATTGGGCTGACCGGGGATGGCCTCCTTCAGCTCAGTGAGCGTCTTCAGGTGGCAGAAAAGGGAGCAGACTCTGCCTTGAGTCCCCGAGCCCCGGGGAAGGTCCCGGGCCTGCCTTCCCACCTCCAGCCGGCTCTGCATCCGAGGCGCTCCTTTAGCTCAGACCTCCCTTTGCACCTCAACTCGACATTCAGTGGCCACCGAGCCCCCCTTGGGTGTCCAGAAGCCCACCAGCGGATCTGAACCAAATTCCTGGTCAACTTTCTCCCTGGGCCGTGCTCCCCAGGAACCTGCGCCCCGCTCCACCCGGCTCACTGGGTTCTTTCCCCTCTCCCTCCTCTGCCTCACCTCTCTCACCTCCCAGTTCCAGCTGGGATCACTTGGCCTCCCCCTCCCGCTTGTTTCTTAGTCGGAGTTCCTGGAGCAGCCAGAGGCGGCGTGCTTCCTGTGGGAGGGTGCTGCCTCCTCCATCTCGTACGTACCACTGTCACCTGTCCCCTCCCCCCAGGTCCAGTTAAGGGAGACTGACCCTTGTCCGGAGGCCGAGGTTGGCCACAGAAGGGTCTGTGAAGTACTGATAGTTGTTTTATAATAGTTGTGCCTGCCTGGTGGACTGAGCTGGGTTATGGGTAATGCACAGTGAAGCAGATCCCGAGACATTTAGCAGACAGAATGTGTGGGGAGGCTGTCCTGGGGCTGGAGACTGGCTTGAGAGGGAATAGGGAGCACATGCCAGCTGTGCTCAGGCTAGACCATTACTGCTTCGTGTAAGTCCTGCCTAATCCTTACCTTGACCCTATGAAATATCCAGTGATGGGAGTCAGGAGTCAGGGAAGGGAGACTCAGATGTCCCCATCCTGCTCTCTGTCTTGGGAAGTGGGCCTCACAGGGTGGTGTCCCTAGCCTTCACAAAAGCCAGCTGCTTGCCAGGACCTGGGTTAGTAAGCCACTGTGGGTCCTGGCCCTGCTGGCCAGCTTGCAATTGCAAGATGGGTCCCAGCTTGGGAGCAAGGCTGCTGGGGTGCTGGGACAGCAGGTGCAGCTGTCAGGAAGGGACCTATAAGCCAGGAGGATTCGTCTGTTTCAGCCAGAGTACAGGGCCCTCTTCACATGGAAAGTGCTGAGTAGAACTGCTGTGTCCAGGTGCAGGTTCAGGGCTGGGTTCAAGGAGCACTTGGTCCTCTGGGCCATTTGCTGACCCAGCCTTCTTTGCAGAAAGACTGTTGTCACCCTCTGGGCTGTTCCAGGAGGCCATAGGGAGCTTGCTTTTTCTGCTTCCCTGTTGCTGCCTACAAACCTGCTCTTCACACAAATATGCTGTGACCCCCCATGTATACCAAGAGTCCATTGCACACCTGGACCCTGCAAGTACCAAGGCCCCACACAGCTCACATATCAATGGGCACA